TGTACAATACAAACGTTTATGTAAAAAAATAATGTATTTTCAAACAAAAAATAAAAGGTAAAATACCGGTAAGCTAATTATAAAGGAAACGCCGGTATGACAGCTTCTTTACATGCATTTTGACTGCGCTCAGCACCCGTACCGTAAGTGCACAATTACACGCGCAGAACAAAAAATGGTGCGGCTGGCTTGACCGCAGTTATAAACTGTATGCAGTACATGGATAATTGTGCGTGCGTCTATTAATCATTTTGAGTCTAATATCATCCCATATTGACCGACTCTGAATCCCACGCATATCCAGTCAGAGGAAGGCTGGACTGTGTTTGATAACAGGAAATAAGAAAGCTTCACCCCAACAGATGAGAGTTACTCTAGAGAAGAGCTCTGGAGTCAGAGGAGCGATGACTCTACCTGGGAGAAAACTGATTATCTGTCTTTTATGGGCCATCATTTTATTATCACAGTGGGTAAGTGTGGCGATTATTCGGTATTGGGACTGTATCTAAGTTAGTTTAGTGTATGTATCTCTTCGTAGCCTAGCACAAGCTTCATCCAGCCTGACAGTTTTAACAGTTGACAGATCATGTTTGTTCAAATCCCAAAAGCGATTATGTGTATTTTTGAAGTCAAAAGGCTTGGCTTTAAAAGCATGTCATGTATCTTTGTCGTTCTAAAGAGTGTAACAGTCTCTTTTCTACTTGATAAACTACAGTCGAAGGTTATGGAGAGAGGAAATATGATTTGCTACATATCATCTTGTTAGTCTTTGCGGATTGCAGGAGCAGCTTTTAGCAGACTAGAACTGCTGTTGTAGTGTTTTTAAAGGATGAAAGAGTGCTTTCTGTTAAGCTGCTTCGCGTTAGGATGAGTAATGCAAATATGCCTTTTCATTACGACACTGGATGACTCCCGAAACCCTGAGCCACCTGTCTTGGCAGCATTGTTTTGGGCGCGTTCCGAATTTTCGAATTTACTATTTAGGTTTGTGATGGGCAAAAATGCTGTCTAGGTTGGTGGCTCACTAGGTTTTGAGACACAATGCTGATTCACGGCGGTAAAGTTAGTTTGACGTTTGACATTCATTAGACATTTTTTGCCAATTAAAGGGGTCATATGATGCGATTTCAATTTTTAATTTCTCTTTGGAGTGTTACAAGCTCTTGGTGCATAAAGAAAATCTGTAAAGTTGCAAAGACTAAAGTCTCAAATCCAAAGAGATATTCTTTATAAAAGTTAAGAGTCAACCACCCCTACCTAAAGCGGCTCGTTCTAACACGTCCCCACATGTCTACGTCACGATGTGGGAAGATTTGCATAACGCCGCCCAAATGTTCACGCAAAGAAAGAAGGCGTAACTTTTATTCTCGCTGTAGTATTGTTGCCGCCGCCTCCATGCCGTGGAGATGCTGTGTTTCGTTGTGAAAGCGAAACTACTTTGTTTGGCCTTCCAAAAGAAGACAATATCCGCTTCGTCATGCCTGGAGCTGATCCGTACTGGTCGCTGAGGAAATACATCAACTTCGCGCTGTGGATCGCCGGATCGGCTTTCACCATGGACAAAGCGGAGTCCAGCCCGGAGTCGTCACATGTGATTGCCGCAAGGCCGCCGGCCACGCTGTTCTCAAGCCCACCGGCCGTTCCTCACTCTAGGCCGCCGCTGCTCACTCTAGCCCGCCAGAAATCAGGGGTTAAGTTATATTTACAACACTGTTCCAGAACACTTCAACCCAAATATTCAGATGCGTGCAGCACATTTTATGGAGGACTGTTTCCTAATCCTGGTTGAGTCAATGACTGTAAGTACGTTTTTTTATATTTAAAGGATTTGCCACTGATGATTCAAACGCGAGTTTTGGGCAGTGTAGAGTAGCGCTTGTTGTTTGTCAGTTCTCCGATCGCAAATGCAGACATGGTTTTATGTTTACGCGGCGTGTTGCAATGCAACGCGTAAAAAGACCGTATAAATCATTATAATCCGTAATTATGTCCCCACTGGATGCAACAAATGCCTCGTTTATAATGGGTTTTAATGTTTTTGTCTCGTCACTCCATCACAATATGGTAAGGGGCGTAACATTTCCGTCACATGCTTGAGGTATTCAGCCAATCACAATAGCTGAATAGCTGGCCAATCAGAGCACACATCACTTTTCAGACCGATGAGCTTTGTAAAAATCGACGCGTTTCAGAATAACAGTAATGTACAGTATGTGGAAAATGTGTTTTTTAACCTTAAACCGCATAAACACATTTCATTACACCAAATACACAAAATAATGTTCTTTTTAGCAACATCATATGACCCCTTTAAACTCTTTGGGGCTGTTATGTTTTGAGCCCAAACTAATTCAGATAGACATAAATACATGCCCTTTACGTTGCACAAGGCTTAATTTCGGGGGGGGGGGAATGAAAAAAATTTACAATTTAAATTAATTAAACAATTTAACTACGTGACATTATAATATAGAACCAATACTAAAATGTTTCGGAAAAAACATCCCTGTTATTGCACAAAGCTCCGTTTTTGGAATTACCATTTTAAATGTTTTATAATAATTTTACAACTTTTAATGTATGCAATAATATAAATCCATTAAACGACAACACCATTTGATCTAAAGGTATCAAACCAACTGTAAAATATTCAGAATATTATTCCCTATAATGCACAAGGCTTGGTTTTTCAGATTATGCCTTTATTGTTTTTATATACAGTACTGAATCCATATTTTTCAAATGTTTTATATACTGTACCCACTTAAATTAATTAATCTCTGACACTATTTGAGAGAAAGCTACCAAAACAACTAAAATATTCAGAATATTATTCCCTATAATGCACAAGGCTTGGTTTTCAGATTATGCCTTTATTGTTTTTATATACAGTACTGAATCCATATTTTTCAAATGTTTTATATACTGTACCCACTTAAATTAATTAATCTCTGACACTATTTGAGAGAAAGCTACCAAAACAACTAAAATATTCAGAATATTATTCCCTATAATGCACAAGGCTTGGTTTTCCAGATTATGCCTTTATTATTTTTATATATAATAGTGGAACCATATTTTTCATATATTTAATATACTTTACTGACTTAAATTCGTTAAACTGTGACACCATTTCAGATAAAGCTATCAAACTAACTGTAAAAATCTCTAAATATTATTCCCTATAATGCACAAGGTTCGGTTTTCAGATTATTAATTTAAAAAAAAAATTTTGACAGTACTGAACCCAAGCCCGACCCATATATCTTTTAGCCGATATTATCGGCTGATATGAGCCTGTCGCCGATATATTGGTATTGGCCAATATGCTGCCGATATTAATTTTTTTTTTTTACAGAACATATAACGCAGATTAAATGCTTCTGAATGGTGTAATTACTTTGTTTGTCCAGCAGAGCGTGCTCCATTGTTTGCTACTGGACCCAGGTCAGTGTAGTGTAGAGATGCGCGGATGAGCTCAAACTTCACCTGAGTCTGCTGCTTCAAATTATCTGCCCACCACCCACCCGCACCTATATTTGATCGTCACATTACAATGATTCTAATTCTTAGTTTTGCATGATGATATGATGAATGGATGGTTTATTTTTAACAGCAGATTCAGTGACGTTAGAGGCTAGAGCTGATCTGCGCATCACGGTACGCATCTGCGGCACATTAAAGCCTGTGTTACAGCCACTGGAGCTGATCGTGGCCATTCAGTCAATGCTGGTGTTCATACCAGCCGCGCCACGGCCCAGAACTCATGCTTATCACATCACATCACGTGGCACGACAAAATACAATAGAATTCTATTGTATTTTGTCGTGCCACTCACGTCCGGTGTAGAATAGAACCCATTATAATCAGTGATGTTGTCTACACTGGATGCAGTAAACTGATGCCTCGTTCTATTTATGACATGCTGACACAAAGTTCAAAATGATTTTCAACGGTCGCTTTGTCGCGTCCTGTTGCAACGCAGACACGATGTCAGCATAGTTTGTCAGTACAGTCAGTAAAGTAGCAGAAGCAGATTGAAAAGTTAGTATCTTTCTGCAGTCCAATAGACGACAGTGCGGTGGTGGCTTGAGTCTGTTGAATGGTGATTTAACGCTACGTTGTCACCTAGTTAGAGAGACTCAATGCTAAGTAAATAAACAACAATGTCCCCGTCTTTTACTCTCACAATCAGCTTATCATATTTGTTTGCTACATTAGTAGGGCCCTATGACTTCCGCGATGCAGAAAACATGGATGGAATCCAGTCATAAAAACGGAATTTACTGTATAAAGTGGAATTTCATGGAATTTGTATTATTTTTGATGAATAAATAAAAAACAGGTCAGTACATACAGGTGCATCTCAATAAATTAGAATGTCGTGGAAAAGTTCATTTATTTCAGTAATTCAACTCAAATTGTGAAACTCGTGTATTAAATAAATTCAATGCACACAGACTGAAGTGGTTTAAGTCTTTGGTTCTTTTGGCATGGAGACAATCAGCCTTAATTCTTGAGCTTGTTACAGCAGGATGGATTCTGATTGGCTGTCAGTGTTTTATCGTTCATCAGCTGGGAAAAAAATCATTTTGAAAGTGATTCCAACGATATCGTTCCTCTGTATCATTATCGTTATAGTTGTGGTGTGAACTATGCTATTCTTTAATATTGAGAACGATTTTTAGAACTATATCTTTATCTTTATAGTTATCGTGCTTGGTGTGAATGGGCCTTTAGAATATGATTGCGTCCTTCTGTTTTAGTAACCTGAGACAAACAGCACTAGTCTCTGGTAACCAAGTGATCCTAGTCGAGCTTGTCCTATTTCTGACTGCGTAAATATCAATGAATAACTTTAGCTTTCTAGTTGTTTCTCAGTTTGTAAAGCTTTACAGTTTGTGAAACTGCTTTCACTTCTTATCTAAAATACATTTGGTCTGTCAAAATAAGTACTGAAAGACCTGCACTAAAAATAAGCACTTGCTCAGGAAAAACTGAAACTACCCTCAAAGTTTAGACAGAAGATTTGTTTGGACTGCACACTAATTCCTGGACACTGAGCCCAAACAGGTTACAACACAAGGGGGGTATAATCGAGTTTGGTTAGGATATCGAGGAGTAATTTTATATAAATCTGTTCCACATGTTCAGAGGTATTCACTGATATTGGATGCACTGTCCTACTTTTTTCATTTTCTTACAAAATGAAATACTGCCAAAATGATATTGTTAATGTTGCCATGAATATAGCCATTGTTGCTGATATGGCGTTAAAACATAAGTAAATAAATGAAATACCGTCAAATACAACAATGTGTCATTTATTTTAAATGTTGAGAAATTTAGCTTGAATTAAGTAATGAATGAATGGAGACCTAGGCCTGTTGCGATAATTAACCGTCTAATCGCGATTATTTGTCTGAAACAACCGCGATTATTGTGCTTTTTATACGAGACAACGAGGAGTCATACACCAAAAGAAACCAGTTTGCTTTTCATGCGCTGTATAGCCTATACAGGGCTCCAGACTCATTCTTCCCACTGGTACCTCTTTTGCAACTAACTTTCTCAGCTGGTCGCAGGAGCACATGATTTGGTCGCAATATATATATATTTTTTTCTTGCGCTACAGCATGGGAATATTCAATGCATGCTGATGAACTTTTATCATAGTTTATAGTTATATGGAAACGAAAGTGGTTAACATTCAACCCGTTCTTTATCATCAGTAGTATTATTTGTGATTTGAATTTTGTGAATGGGAGTTTCTCTTTTGCGGTGTTAAGCTGCGGGCTTCGGATACTTTCGCTTTCGAATTCGCGATCTTGTTGTCACTGTTTTGCTTACATACATCTGCACACCTTTCATTTTTTTAAGACTAAAACAAAAAATGGATTCATTGTTATTCTTAATTAAAAAGCACAACAACAATCAATCAGTAAGATACAATGACAAACTAGCTTACAAAACGTTTAACAAAAACGAATAAGATGAGGCATACATCACATGCTGTATTATATACCGACTAATAAATTACAGAATGTTTAGCAAACACTGAGGAATCAAATTAATAAATAAAATTAGATTGCCTCCATAGCATGTGTGGTAAACAGCAAAGATAAGTTTTTCAAAAATAAAAACAAAAAGAAAAGTAAAACTAACGGTGACAGTGCTTGCATGTTTTTCACCCCCACAAGAATACCAGCATGTTCACCTTCTCTGGTTTAAGAAGCGGTCTTTAACTTTACTTTAGCCTGAAAACCATCCATCGTTTCCTCAATATGCACGTAATTTTTGCTGCGTGCACCTTCGCGCTCGTGCTGACGCGGCGAGTATACTCTCTAAGCGCTGTTTCGTTATGCTGTGTTAAGTTTCTCATATGCAACAGAAATTGCAGTTTACAATTCTCTTCAAGTTTACAGAAACTCATCTTCCTTCTGCTGCAGCTGGCAGTCATTCTCCGCTCAGTATTCAAACAGCACGTCACGTTCAGTTATGACAGTCAGCACGGTAAAACTCTCTCTCTCCAAGATGATATATTCCCGTTATAATACTTTAAGTTTAAGAAAGGGAAGGAATTATCACAAACAGAAAGATTATTAGAAGCCTTTCTTTTTCTCATGATTTCTATCTTATATTCATGAATGTATTTTGTAAGAATACAAATAGTTAACAGAATAAACATGTTTAAATTGTATAATGTGCACCAAAGATTTTTTTTCAAGATATTGTTTTTGCTGCTAAATTATACAGTCAGCTAGTTTAATTTCATAGCTTATATATTTTTATTCAAATGTAGTTTTCTCTGTAATGAGGAAGTGAGTATTTAGTGAACTGCGTTTAACAAAGGGTTTAAAAGAGTGACCATTAGTTCCACAAACACAGTATTGATATTCTGTAGTGGTGTAGAAAAAAAGTAGCGCTGGTGTTGGATCGGTATTGGCCAATTCTTAGAATTTGGAATACTTTATGTAATCTTACACCGCAAAATAATAACTCAAAAAGATTCAAAGATAACATAATTATTTACTGAACCCTTAAATTAAAGGGGTCATATGATGCGATTTCAAGTTTTCTTTTCTCTTTGGAGTGTTACAAGCTGATTGTGCATAGATAAGATCACTGAAGTTGCAAAGACTAAAGTCTCAAAACCAAAGAGATATTCTTTATCAAAGTTAAGACTGGCAGACTGCGCTTGTCGGAAGGAGGGACTTTGTAGAAAACGAAGCGTTTGAAAGAGGCGGGGCATAGAGGACCTACAATAATGTACAGTATATGAAAAATAATGTGTTTTTTGAACATTAAAGCATGTCAACATATTCTGTTACACCAAAATACTCAAAATAATGGTCTTTAAAAAAGCATCATATGACCCCTTTAATCAATTATATAATGAAAGCCTAAAAACAGACAATTAATCGTGATAATCGGCATAATCGCCAAAGCCCTAAAACAGACAATTAATCGCAATAACCGTGACTATTTTTAGACGATTAATCGTCAGCCAAATTTCATAATCGTGACAGCCCTAGAGACTACAGCATTGTTTCAAATGGATTTTCAGCTCATATTTTCAGTCGATACCAGCTTATTGAGTCATGACAGGACCAAGACCGTGAATATATATAAAACTGCATATTTTTCATCTGTTGAATTGTCAGAACAGTCAGATAGAAAATAAATAACCACAATTTGCATAATGCATGTCTTAATTGTAGTAGTAATTTCTAAAAATTCCAAACAATTAAAAAGAAATGTATGCTGATATATCATTTTAAAATTATTCAAAATTATTTTTATTGATCAATAATTCATAGTGATTAATCAAACTTCTAATCAAATTAAATTAAAATAAAATTATAATGCAGTTTAATAGCTAGGGTGTTTATTTCACGCCTTATCAACACTATTCACTAAAAAATATTTGAAAATACAACATGTAGCCTATGTTATCTCTTAACAAAAGCACTCTTGGATTTCAGAGCACTTTAAAATCAGCCAGACTTTTTCTTCACAACCAAGAGTAATCTCAAAATTGCTACTGATTATTTGACTAATCATCCTGACCGATATTTTGGTCCATTATTACTGGTTAGAAAAGTAAAATAAATTACATTTAGTAGTGACCTGGATTAGAAATATTAGAAACTGTTATTTTAGGATTTGGGTACAATAGAAGAAGAATCATTACTAGAATAAAGGAAAAATCAAATAGTTGCTTTGGAGTTGTGTGTGTTGTTGTAGAGTTTCAGAGATCTTAGGGGATTTCTCATGTGAATGAGCAGGATATTCTTTCTGAATTTCTCAGGTCCAGCATCCTCATAGTTTTCATGTCAATATTTTGCCCTTGTTGCTGTCCAACACAACAAACCAAACAGTAAAAATGATGCTTCAGCTGTCCCAAAGTTTCCTGCCTAAGGGATGTCACAACCCTCAGTCACATGTCCGGTCACACTCTTTTGTTTCCATTTGAGTGAAAAGCTGGACAGTTACTCGGTCTAAATGCTGACCCTTGTCCTTTGTAACGCTTTGTGTACCATTTATCATTTAAAATCAAATTGTTGTTGATCTTAAACACGGTTGATTTCATCAATTGAAAATGGACTTTGGTGGAGACACGGTTCTTCTGAATGCAGCACATATGTCTGTGAATTCTGGTCAGATGACTGCAAAAGTGAGCTGAGGAATGTATACTTCTCTGGTTTCACTGAGACGTATTCTGGATAAGTGACGTGGTAACAGTTTTGAGGGATTTTTATTAGTCCTGGAAGTTAAGTGAAATTTCTTGTGGAGGACAACAAGGTCTGTTCTCTTGAAAGTGACGCCATGATTGATGCTGAAAAAGAGAAGGAAACTGATTTTGAGGAACATTTCATTTTAAACATCAGTGGTGACACATCATGCTGAACAGATGGTCAAAGCAGCATGATGATGATCTGAAAGATTACAGTTGTAATTGTGTTTCTTTTTTTTACCGTAGTTAGGACACATTTGTAAATAACTTGGGTCACTTTTTCAAAACTACACTTTATAAAACAATGACTTAAACACTAACAACAGGTAGCATTAAACAGTGTTATTTCTCAAATGTCTTTACAAAACAAGAACGACAGCTTTCTACTCTTTAGAATTCACTGCTGTATATATATGTTGCATGGTCCGTGTATACGTGTTAAAGGGGTCATATGATGCGATTCCAAGTTTTCCTTTCTCTTTGGAGTATTACAAGCTCTTGGTGCATAAAGAAGATCTGTAAAGTTGCAAAGACTAAAGTCTCAAATCCAAAGAGATATTCTATATAAAAGTTGAGTCAACCACGCCTACCTAAAACGCCTCTTTCTAACACACCCCCACATATCTACCTCACTATGTGGAAATATTAGCATAATGCCGCCCAAATGTTCACGCAAAGAAAGAAGGCGTGGTTTCAGGAACAGCAGTAGTGTTGATGCAGCCTCACAATGCACTGGGTCAGCTGGCCAATCAGAGCAGACTGCGCTTATCAAAGGAGGGGGCTTTGTTGAAAATGACGCGTTTGAGAGAGGCGGGGCATAAAGGACCTACAATAATTTACAGTATTTGAAAAATAATGTGTTTTTTTAACATTAAAGCATGTCAACATATTCTGTTACACCAAATACACAAAATAATGATCTTTAAAATAGCATCATATGACCCCTTTAACACTGTGTAGGTGTTCAGCTACATCTGATTGTTTTCTAGTATTTAGTTTTTATAGATCAGTTAACTGTAGAAATGTAGCAAATTGCAGTCTTATTCAGTTTTGTATTGTATTTTGAACTTTAAAAAGTTTTACAGTTTTGGAAAAAAAACATTAACATGCAAATTGGCCTTTACATAGAGTTTTGGTAGTGTTGTGTCTGAGTGAGAAGAAAAAAAATCATGTAGTTTGAAAGATGTAGTCATATTTTTTGCCAAAGCAATGGAAAATGATCCATAGTTTCCCCACATAGACTGCTGTTGTGCTCACTGTGTAAATAAATCTTCCTAATGTTTCTCATGTCTGCACAGGTGTATGGCCAGCACTGTATCTGGTATGGTGAATGTGGTAATTCCACTAAAGTTCCAGAGAAGAAGTTAAACTGTAATTACACAGGCCCACCTTTTCCGTTACCTGATAAAGAAGGACAGGACCTGCTACAGGTAAGAGAACAGACACCTTAAAGGATTAGTTCACCCAAAAATGAAAATTCTGTCATTAATTACTCACCTTCGTGTTGTTCGAAACCCATAAGACCTTCGTTCATCTTCAGAACACAATTTAAAATATTTTTTATGAAATCTGAGGGCTCTCTGACCCTCCCATAGACGGCAAGGTAACTACCACGATCAACATCCAGAAAAGTACCAAGATGATCGACAAAGTAGTCCGTGTGACATCAATGGTTCAACTGTAAAGTTACAAAGCTACGAGAATACTTTTTGCGCAAAGAAAACAAAAATAACGATTTTATTCCACATTTTTGTCTCTGCTGCATCACTCGCCACCACACACTTGCGTCATGATACTGACGTGAACGCGCGTCCACAAGTGACGCAGTAGAGACGAAAATGTGGAATAAAGTCATTATTTGTGTTTTCTTTGCGCATGGGAGGGTCCGAAAGCCCTCAAATTTAATCAAAAATACCTTAAATTGTGTTCTGAAGATGAATGAAGGGCTTACGGGTTTCGAACAACACGAGGGTGAGTAATCAATGACAGAATTTTCATTTTTGGATGAACTAAACCTTTAAGAACCACTAGTCTGCTGTTCAAGACATTTCATAGTGTTTAGATGAGGGAGTTCACCTAAAAATTTAAATTGTGTCATTATTTATTTACAGTTGTTCCAAATCTGTATGACTTAATTAAAGGCCAAAAACTGAGACTTTTTTTTTTTAATGCAAAAATCCCTTTAACATTGCTTCACTTTGACCTTTGGAAAAGGGATTCTTTCTGTAATCTCACATGTCAATCCTCACAATGACAAATACGCTAGGCTGTAAGAGATCTGAATCAACTTTTGAAGAATACGATATGAGCAGACACTGTTCAGTCATGGGTGATCATTACACTTTGCATTTCCTGTACTTTAAATGTTAGTAACCCGTAAAGCCCTATAGACTACTGTAGGTAACATTTCAGTGGTCTTGTTACCTCCCTTTACATGCACGTACAATGAATTTTTTTTTATCAGGATTGCTTTTTTTTTTTTTTTTTTTTTTTTTTTTTTTTTTTTTTGGTAGACCAATCCAATTATTCTCATATTCATGGTGGTTTTCATTGTACATTTTACAAAATTTGATTAAATAAAGGAGGGTATTTTAAGTATACAGCATGTTTTGTTTAAAATTCTATATTTTCCTGACTCAAATTGACCAGAATCTATTTGCAGTACATTCTATTTTGTTTTTTAACAACTTGTTAATAGAATGATTTCATTGAAAGCTAATTAATTTGTGTGATCTCTCACTGTTTGCAGGAGCTGTGCCCAGGACTGGTCTATGGGGACAACAAAGTTTGTTGTGATACCCAACAGCTCAGGACACTGAAAACAAATATGCAGCTCCCCCTTCAGTGCCTGTCCAGGTATGACTGATATACATCTATAAAGATGCATATAAGTTAGTTGTGTGGCATAAGAACTTTGAACCATTATTGAGTCACGAGCAGGTTATTTATTAAACCAAGTCTCGTTTTCAGTTGAAACCAAATAACATGTACTTGTCTGACACTGGGAGAATCGTCCAGTTCATGGCAGTAATATAATATGCACTTCATAAAAGTTTGAACTTCTTTCTGTTTTTGTGTGTCAGGTGTCCAGCGTGTTTCTTCAACTTCATGACCCTGTTCTGCGAGCTTACCTGCAGTCCCAGACAGAGCGATTTTGTCAGTGCCACAAATTTCTCTACATTTGATAAAAACACAACTAATGTGGACAAGGTGTCCTACTATATCAGCCAGACCTTTGCCAATGGTGAGGAACAGTGATTAGAGAGAAGATCACACATTTTTCAGAACATCAGAGTGTGACTTACTTGGATGCATTTATTAACCCTAGTATTAGTAATAATATCCCTTAATTTTTCTACTAATTTTTTGTTATTATGTTTTCGTTTAATTGATAGGCTTGTTTTTCAGGATATATAATAAATAGGTGGTAATTATTATTATGTATTGTTCTGATTTGTCCAGTGTTAAAAGCAGGTTATATCAGGACTTGCTTCCATTTCAGAGCATTCTTTAGTGACTCTGGATTTCCGTTCCTGCTTGCTGGTGAACTAGTCATAACCAACAACAACGCTCTGGCTTTCAAAAAAATGTTCCCTTACTTACAAAAATACTTAAAAATACTGCTTTTGCTTACACTCTGCTCTACTTGCATATACTGGTCTAGAACACCGTGAACGCAGACAAGTGAAGTTTGAGGACAAATTAGAGGACTGTAACTGTAACTGTTGTATTCAAATACTGTAGGTAACAAATATAACAAAGTAATTTCTTTTATGTCTCTCTGCAGCCATGTATAACGCCTGCAGGGATGTTCAGGCCCCCTCCACCAATCTCAAAGCCCTCAGTCTGCTGTGTGGGAGAGATGCTAGTGAGTGCACTCCCAACAACTGGATCCAGTACATGTTCGATATCAACAATGGCCAAGTCCCCTTCGCTATTGACCCGGATTTCTCAGGTACACACACACAAACGCTTTCAGAATCACAAGACACTTTACTGAGTTTGAAATCATAAAAACTTAAGAATTGTTGCTTGTAACCCATTAATTTTATTGCTTTCAAACTCATATAATGTGACCTAAAAATCTGCTTACATGAAAGCATATAAAGATTCTTGTCATTGGTTTCAGTGCTGAAAATATATGATACGGGTCTTAAAAATATTTGGTCTCCCCAGATGTACCCATCGCAGGCATGACTCCCATGAGCAACGTGACGTTTAACTGTACACAGTCTCTGGATGACGGCTTGGGGCCCTGCTCATGTCAGGACTGCAGTGAAGCGTGTGGCCCCACACCTGTACCCCCCCCAGTCCTTCCACCCTGGACCATCCTCGGCCTGGACGCCATGACCGTCATCATGTGGTGTTCTTATGTAGCCTTCCTCATCCTCTTCTTTGGAGTCGTGCTGGGGGCATGGTGTTACAGGTAACTGACCTAAACATGCACTAACCAATGAAATTCGAGGGAAAGTTCCTCAAAACAATCTGAGACATTGCAGAAGGGTTTTATTTGTGTAGTAAATTGCATAGTGTATCTTACCATAAATGGTTATTCGACCATCAAGGATCAAACATACCATTTCAGTCAGGTTGCTTAAAATTAAGCCAAAGTTCAGCATTTTGTATAATTTTTTCCTTATCTCACTACAGGAGGAGAATGGTCACATCTGAATATGGCCCAATTCTTGATGGCAACCAGCCCCAATCCATAAACTCTGATGGCACAGATTTTGTAGGCAAGTACATTTTTGTCATGTAGTGTGTGTGTGTTTATTTTGATATATATTTACATTTATATATATTTATATATACCATATATATATATTATTATTATTTTTTTTTTTAACTGTCTGTTGGTAGCAGATGAGGGCATCGCATGAGTGTTCTTCATATCATGGTCCCTACGGGTCCCAAAAAAGGGTCTTAAATTCAGTTTTATCAAATTTAATGTCTTAAAATATCCTCAACGCTGTAACAGAAGTCTTAATTATCATTTTAAGACCTCATAGAATTGGAGATGGAAAACGGCACTCTTGCAGTCATAATTACTTTCTTATTTATACTGTTGGTGAATTTTGCTTTTTTTATGTTTATATTTTGATATGCGGTTTGTAAAACTGCTTCTTTTTTTTTGAATGAGCAGCTGGGAGTAATAATGCAAAAAAAAAATTAAATAAGAGTCCCGGCATATTTTGGGCTTGTTTGTAATTAAAAGTCCCATTTTAAGCATTTAATTCAATGTAAACTCTTGCAGTTGCTCCCTGGCTCGGCTATGGACATATGGAATTTTATTTGTGCAAGTCTTGAATTAGATTTTTCAAAAGATTCCCTGGAAACTGTAGTCCTCACTGAATGTCGTCCTTTTTTTCTTAGGTGATGCTACGTGCTGCGAGACATTGGGCGAGCGTTTTGAGAACTGTCTCCGCGTTCTCTTCAGCAGCTGGGGCTCCCTGTGTGTGCGTCACCCCTTAACTGTGATCCTGACCAGCGTGGTGCTGGTGTTGATCTGCTCGGCTGGACTGTCCTATATGAGCATCACAACCAACCCGGTGGAGCTCTGGTCGTCTCCCAGCAGCAGGGCCAGGCAGGAGAAGGACTATTTTGACCAGCACTTCGGACCATTTTTCCGCACCGAGCAGCTCATCATCACCACCCCGTTGAATGCATCAGGTGTTTTTTCACCCTTCTCTGGACCAGACATCCACTTCTCTTCCATTCTGAACATATCACTCCTCCATCAGGCAAGTCAACATAAGCCACACGAGTACTATGTAAGGGTAGCGTGCAGTTCCATTGATGATGGTGAATATTACCCACTGCTCCGGGTGTGTGTTCACGGTGTGTGTGTGTGTGTGTGTGTGTTTTTTCACTACTCACTGCTGTGTGTGTGCACTTGGATGGGTTAAATGCAGAGCACAAATTCCGAGTATGGGACACCATACTTGACCACACGTCACGCCCTTTCTTTTCCTTCCTTTCCTATTAGGAAATATCTGACCGCTCAATGCCAGGATTAACCAGTCAGAATCAAGTATTCCAGAGAGACATCTAATTTCTAACATCTAACTTTTTATAAATGTCACTTGCTTTGATGTTAAATGCAATGACATTCAAACTTTTTAACTGTCCTAATACTTTTGAATACAGTATGAAAGATTTTTTTTAACAATGACTAGTCCATTAGGTCAACTAGTTTTTAATTTGTTGTTTTATTGTTAATATTTTTAGTGTTTTAATCATTTGATCGATCCTCCATGCACCATATTCAACTCTTGCTCTGTTGTCCATGTAGGTGTTGGATCTCCAGACAGAAATTGCAACGCTAACAGCTGAATATAAGGGGGAGACGGTTACTTTTAAAGACATCTGTATTTCTCCTCTGGCTCCTTACAATGACAATTGTACCATCCTAAGTTTGTTAAACTACTACCAGAACAGCCATGAAGTCCTGGATCATAAGGATGCTGTGGTCAACTCTGACTATCACACTCATTTTTTATATTGTGTCAGGTGAGCTCTACTGTAGCAGCACCCTGATTCCCTGCAGAAAAATACAGTTTAGGCTTAAATCAAAAAATATATAGATTGCTAATGTGTTTTATGTTGTAGAATAAAATGTGAAAATATCTTGACTTTAATTCAGGCATTTAACCAAAAACTCATTCAAAAAAAACCTACTGACTTTAGGAATTTGTTAAAAAAATGTTTCCTCCTTTCCAGTTTTTGGACTACAAAAATGTCACCCCTGCAACACTCTATTATCGTTCATGTTGCATTTGTTCAACTTTGTAAATTAAACTGAATAAACTCATAACTTTCCTTGATTCACTGTTTCTTATCTTTTGCTTTTGTATTAGTTCTCCCACGGCCCTGGACGACACAAGCGAGTCACATGACCCCTGCATGGGTACATTTGGAGGACCAGTTTTCCCTTGGCTTGCTCTTGGGGGATATGAGGGTGAGTTTGACTAAAATAAACATAAAATACAAAAGAACAAAGACGTCATTGTGATCTCATTTTGGTAGCATTTCCTACCTTTTGAAAATTGAGGGTCAAGTTTGTTTGGTGTTTTTTTTTGTTTTGTTTTGTTTTGTTTTAATCAGAAATACTGGGGGAAAATAAGCATAATATTGTGAAATATTACAATTTAAAGTAACTTTTTTTCTATTGTAATACATTTTCAAATGTAATTTGTTCCTGTGATGATGACAAAGCTGAAGTTTCAGCATTTTCTAACATATATTGTAAATATAAATTGAAAGAAAATGAAAAACACGTTAAAACAAATACATAAGTCAAATCTGCTCTACTAGCCCTTTTATTAGCAATTTTAACACAAAACTCTAATTGGGGCGGTGCTTTTGGAGAAACATTCTTATCGGCTGTATTACCAATGAATGCTGTTTTTATTCTGTCTTAACATGTTTTTGTAATTTTCTTAATTTGCTTTTCTTTACTATTTGGCACAAATCATATCTAATATGTTTAATAGGCTAATCGATAAAAGTGTTTAAGATACTCTTTCTTTTAGCTTTTGTAAATGTTTTTTTTTTCATTGCAACTTTATATATAACTTTTATTTGTCTTTGTTCGTTTTTTCTGTTATTCCTCTTTCATATATAGGCACTGCCTACAACAACGCCACAGCTCTAGTGATCACCTTTCCTGTCCACAACTATCTGAATGACACGGACAAACTAGGCAAAGCTTTGGCATGGGAGAAAGTGTAAGTTTGATTAAATGATCTGATTAGTGTATCTTATGGGTGAATATTTTATGAAAAGATTATAAAAAAAAGAATGCTTTCATCTAGAATGGTATCTCTTATGTGGTCATATACTGTATATTCAGGATACCCATACCTCCACAGGTTTGTCAACTTCGTGAAGAACTATGACAACCCCAACCTGACCATCGCATTCAGCTCCGAACGCAGCATTGAAGATGAGATCGACCGCGAGAGCAACAGTGATATCACCACCATCGTGATCAGCTACGTCATCATGTTTGTCTACATCTCGCTGGCTCTGGGACACATTAACAGCTTCTGGACCCTGCTGGTAAGGGTATCTCTATTCTAAATGTGACCTTTTTGAAATGTTTGTTTGGTAATGGTGCAAAAAGAAGAGTATGATTAGGGGTGGGAATCACAAGAGGCCCCCATGAGACGATATTATCACGATACTTGTGTCACAATACAATATTATTGCTTTTTTAAATATATTGCGGTATTCTGTGATTTATATTGCAATTTATTACCTTTTTCCAACTTCAAATTATGTCCCCAAACGAAAACTTTGGCAACACCTGTTTTAACTAAAAAGAAACATTTCTCAATTTGTTAATCTCACTTCAATTTTATTGTTGCAGTGCAAAATGGGATTGGCAAGCAGAAAAACTGACTAACACTTTCATGAAAACCTGTCATAAATGTTGTATGCACCTGGCAAACTCAACTATTTGTATTACAGTCTAGTCTAGTCAACCTTAATTAAATGTAAACAGGTATGCACTGCTGTGCTACTACAAGTATTTTGAACAATGCAACTTGAACTTGTACAAAAAACTGTGCAGATCCTTCAGCAATTGGGGCATTTGAAAGTAAATTACTGTTTAATTTAAAATAAATAAAACATAGTTTTACATTAAAATAAAAATGTTACATTTAAATTAAACATAACATGTACTCAATGTGTAAACAATGTGCTACAACAGGTATACTATGCACTTGGTCTTAGTATTTTTACTTTCATTCATTCCATGTAGTTCCAAGCCAGTTCTATATCACCGTTCACACACACACACACACACGCACCACTCGCACATAAACACAGTGAGAAGGGAGAGAGGTCGGAGATTGCAGATCGCACTGCGCACACACAGAAACTTATTGTCGGTGCTGCCCCGCGACTTTTATTAATAAAATAACAGATACTGTTATTATATTAATATAATAAAAGAACAGTCATTTTTACCCTTCTGGTTAAATATTCCCCCACCCCTAGTATGGATATTGCTTAACTCAAATGAATATACTATAAACCTTCTAAAAATACACTTACAGTATACACTTTTTAATCTTCTGATGCTGGCATTAATATAAAAGGTTTAGTAGATGTCCCTTAGCCATTACTTTGGCTTATACTGGCACATACTGTAACGAATTATGTATTATGATCTTAATATAGTATGTGCTTTCTGCCATCTGTTTCCTTCTCCTTTTTTTTCCCTGTTAGCCCTCACTTTCAGTGCAAATTTTTCCATGCTTAAGCGCAAACCCCTTCCCGCATCTACACTTAGGGTAAGGTTAGAGTTTATGTTCGGGCTTAGTATTTCTTTCAGCATTGTGTAGGCTGTCAGCATCGTGATTAACCAAAGAAATCATTAAAGTCAGTAAAAAAAAAATCATGTGAAGAACAAAAGTGCTACATGTTTAAAAACCTGAAGAACTGTTTTGCTATTTTGACACACCTTATTGAATCAGGAAGTTTGGATAAGGCATACCAAAGAGTTTGTCCTGTTTTTAAAAAGAAGATTTGCTACTTGTCGTTGATGGTCGGGGGCAGCAGGCCTTTATGTTTTAGGGGGAGGGACTAGAGTGTGTTCCCCTGGAAACAAGTCATCAATATATACTTGTAGTCAATTTTCCTGCCATTAGGCTGAGCTTGCATATCCTCATTATTTTAAATGCTGCATTTGTACGTTTCGCAGGTGGACTCTAAGATCTCTCTGGGTATCGCCGGTATCCTGATCGTGTTGAGTTCAGTCGCATGTTCGCTGGGTATCTTCAGCTACATCGGCATCCCCCTCACACTCATCGTCATTGAGGTCATTCCCTTCCTCGTGCTGGCCGTGGGTGTGGACAACATCTTCATCATTGTACAAACCTACCAGGTGCGTGGTGTTGTCTTTACACAGTTTATGCCCTGAGAGCAGATTCTGCTCAAACATGACACTGTTATTGTTGATTGTTCATGTCAACTGACTTGGCCCACTAAAATAGCTCAGACGAGCACCTTTTAGTTCCTGTTTTTAAATATTAATTTTGTTTTCACTTCAGGGTTTTTAGGATTGTTGATGGGTAGGATTGTTTGCTTTCACAAAACTGCCGAATAATAAATTTTTCTTTTCTTCAGAGAGATGAGCGAATGCCTGAGGAGGAGCTTCATCGGCAGATTGGACGTATCCTCGGAGAGGTGGCTCCCAGCATGTTCCTCTCTTCATTCTCTGAGACAGTTGCTTTCTTTTTAGGTATGTCAACCTTAGTCCAGTAAATTAACTCTTATATTTCTAACAAATGGTAGATGAAATGGAATGAATGCCTCTGCAGTAAGTTATAAACCATTAATATAAATCCTAGTATTATAAAGTGTTTTTTTTATAATTATTTCAAATCTAAGTATGGTCAAGTTGTTTTTACTAGGTGCCTTTTTTTATCAAGATTTACACATTTTATTAAAAGGTGAAGAACCACCATCATGCTTTCCTTGTCAAACTCTTATGACTGTTAAACATTTTACTGGATTGCACAGTTTTTACTCGGAGATGTGTGATGCATTTAAACTTTTTTTTATTATTATTATTTTTTTTTAATCATTCACTTTGTTCTCTCCATGAAGCTTAGCTGTTGACATGGTGTTAAAAATAATAAATAAATAAATAATTTATTTATACATAACTAATTTATATATATATATATATATATATATTATTTTTTTTTTTTCATGTTTTCTTTTATTATTATTATTATTATTATCCCTAGGGATAGGGATAATAATAATATCCCTAGGGATAGGGATGCGTTTTAAATGCTTTCATGTGGAAGTATCGGTATAAAATAGATAAATATATAAAATAGAATATGATACTGGAGTGCAATATCAGGCCAAAAAAAAAAGGAGCTCTCATAAAGTGAGACCTACCATAGATCGTTTGATTCTTATTTCCCTTTCCAGATGACAATAGTTTTCATATTTACATATGTCTCCAGGTGCTCTATCTAGCATGCCTGCAGTGAGGACGTTCTCTCTATTCGCTGGTCTGGCCGTCTTTATTGACTTCCTCCTGCAGATCACCTGCTTTGTGTCTCTTCTGGGCCTGGACATCAGGAGACAAGAGGTGAGAGGTCAAAGGTCACACCAGCACTACCTGCAGGAGATTATAGAATTAGAGGAACTGAAAAAAGTGAGATATGAAGAGGGTTAAATGATCATGCACGGCAACCTACTTTTAATAAGTAAACTGAGAACTTGGCATGTTTAGCTTTTAATACACTTAAAACAGTGATTACCAACTGTAGTTTTATTAAGCAGCATTTTTGTATCAATATGTAATGATTTGAGATGCTTAAAGGGGTCATATGATGCTTTTTTAAAGATCATTATTTTGTGTATTTGGTGTAACAGAATATGTTGACATGATTTAATGTTCAAAAAACACATTATTTTTCAAATGCTGTACATTATTGTAGGTCCTCTATGCCCTGCCTCTCTCAAATGCTTAGTTTTCTACAAAGTCCCTCCTTCCGACAAGCGCAGTCCGCTCTGATTGGCCAGCTGACCCAGTGCATTGTGATTTGGCTGAACACCGCAAGCACTTGTCGGAAATGTAACGCCCCTTACCATAATCGCGAGCTTCATCTTTCAAAATAAATGTAAAGACAGTAAATAATGTCATTAGTTTTACCATGTGGCTTAAGTTCTTTTTTTTCTTTCTTCCTTCACTCCCTCCCTCCTTCTTTCCTTCCTTCCCAGGCAAATCGTCCAGATATATTATGCTGTTTGAAATTGTCTGATGGACAGCAGGAAAAATCAGAAGGTTGTCTGTTCCGCTTTTTTAAGAAGATATACGCTCCTTTCATCTTGAAAGATTGGGTGCGCCCCCTGGTGGTAAGTGTAAAGAGAAAAAAAACGAAACAGAAAAAGTATTTATCTCATTTTTTTTTAAATACCACTTGAATGCATTATAAATAAATATTATAATATAAAGTAAATAATTAAACAAAATAAATCAATTATTGTGATGCTACTGCTACGGTATACCATTTTAGCTACATAAACATGGAAATGATGTACAAATAGGCTTTTTCATAACTTCATCTGCAGGTTGCTGTGTTTGTGGGAATGCTGTCATTTAGCGTAGCTGTTGTTAATAAAGTGGAGATTGGACTTGATCAGAGATTGGCCATGCCTGATGTGCGTATATACCTATTCACACCTTTCACACACATTTGCATTCTAAAGAATCTGAAAGGGGTCATTGTATACATAAATCTTTACTGTGTCCTTATCACAGGACTCCTATGTGCTGGATTATTTTGGGAATCTGAGTGAGTACCTGCACACTGGTCCGCCAGTTTACTTTGTGGTAGAGGACGGACATGACTACAAAACACCTGAGGGTCAGAATGCGGTGTGTGGCGGAGTGGGCTGCAACAGCAACTCTCTAGTCCAGCAAATTTATACCGCATCTCTCTTGAATAATTAGTGAGTGTCACTTTTTGACACATTTTCTGTGAGGAAAATGATTTACTGTGAGAAATTCCCAGAAAAGTTGGTGACTTTACCCACCTGCTTTCAGTTTTTGAATAACTTCTGTCAGATCAATATAGCAATATTTTGTGTTGTAATTTTAGTAGTAAGATCAGCAACGTTCCATCGTCCTGGCTGGATGACTACTTTGACTGGGTGAAGCCACAGTCCTCCTGCTGCAGATATTATAACAGCACCGGAGCGTTCTGCAATGCTTCAGGTAAACCATTATCCACCAAATCAACAGAGCCACTGCCCCAGAGGACTTTTATCCAGGGTGCTGTTTGTTTTGGTGGTTGTTTGAAATTTTGACTTCAGTTGCCACTGTGAAGATCACACTATTCTTGGGTCTTTGAACCTACTTTTTGCAAATATAATTGAATGGAAATTGTGTCATGATGTCTTGATTTTTTAAAAGGGAAAGTTTACTCAAAAATGAAAATTCACCCACAATTCCAAACCTGTTTGACTTTTCTAAAACACAAAAGGTGATGACAGAATTTGTATTTTGGGGTGAACTATTGTTTTGAAGCCTTATATTCTGTATCTTGTTTTTTTGTTGTCGTTGTTGTGTGTGTGTGTGTGTTTTTTATTTTATTTTTATGATTACGATGTTTTCTTTCATCAGTGGTGGATAAGACTTGTGTTCCCTGCAGACCTATGACCCCTAGTGGGAAACAGAGGCCTAATGGTACTGAGTTCATGCGCTTCCTCCCCATGTTTCTCTCAGACAACCCAACCATCAAGTGTGGAAAAGGGTAAGTTTAAATATTTTCCATTGATCAGATTTCCCATACAACTCCGGTATCCCGTACCTGTCCACCATTCATTTAGTCATCCATTTTGTCTGATTTGTATTTTATGCAAGAATTCCAAGCATTTGCCAAAATTGCAATCTCTGATTCAATGCAATTTTCAGGATTCAGGGTACACAGGGTTTTACCAGTATGCCAGAAACACCTATGTTGAGTACGAGTTGGGTACAATGACCAAATCGTTTGAGCGTTTGGTAGCAGTAAACTACATTTTTTATTTTTTGAAAGGTTAACATTAATTCAGATATCACTTAGCATTTCAAGTGAATAATTTAATCCACTTAAAGTGAGTTGAGCTCACAAAAAAGTTTATAAATCTCTGTTTTGACTAATGGCTCCTTTTCTTTCCCGCGCAGTGGTCATGCTGCATACAGGACTGCTGTGGATCTCAAAGAGAACAACACTGACGTAGGCGCCACCTACTTCATGAGCTATCACACGATCTTAAAAACTTCATCTGACTTCATTGTCGCCTTGAAGATGGCGCGAGAGCTTACCGACAACATCACACAGGCCATCGGACCACATAACAAGACTTACAGTGTCTTCCCTTACAGGTTTAAAGTTTTAAATTAAACTACCTCTAGAGCAGGGCTGCCAAAACTCGGTCCTGGAAGGCCAGTGTCCTGAAGAGTTTAGCTTCAACCCCAATTAAACACACCTGAACCAGCTAATCAAGCTCTTACTAGGCATACTAGAAACTTAAAGGCTGGTGTGTTGAGGCAAGTTGGAGCTAAACTCTGCAGGACACCGGCCTCCAGGACCGAGTTTGTGTAGCCCTGCTCTAGAAGGTTATTTTATTACATAATTTTAATAGTAATTGTGGAAATACAAAAAATATAGTAGTTGTAGTATTTTATATAAGTAAATACTATGGTTGTCAGCTCGACACATTGATTCCAGACAGTGAAGTTTTGAAAATAAGTAACGGTTATCTTTGCATATCCTCATTATTAAGTCACATGTATGGGAATTTGTGGTAATACTAAATGTTTGTTTTTTAATAAATACATACATTCCAGTTCTTCTTCTCCTTAGCCCAGGTAAGACACCTCTGACGTTGTCTGTGGTTCAGGAGTGACTTAACAAGAAGAATACGACAACTGTAGCCAAATTCCTTGACACGTCTGTGTGTGGTGGCTCTTGATGCCTTGACCCCAGCCTCAGTCCATTCCTTGTGAAGTTCACTCAAATTCTTGAATCGATTTTGCTTGACAATCCTCATAAGGCTGCGGTTCTCTCGGTTGGTTGTGCATCTTTTTCTTCCACACTTTTTCCTTCCACTCAACTTTCTGTTAACATGCTTAGATACAGCACTCTGTGAACAGCCAGCTTCTTTGGCAATGAATGTTTGTGGCTTACCCTCCTTGTGAAGGGTGTCAATGATTGTCTTCTGGACAACTGTCAGATCAGCAGTCTTCCCCATGATTGTGTAGCCTAGTGAACCAAACTGAGAGACCATTTTGAAGGCTCAGGAAACCTTTGCAGGTGTTTTGAGTTGATTAGCTGATTGGCATGTCACCATATTCTAATTTGTTGAGAGTGAATTGGTGGGTTTTTGTTAAATGTGAGCCAAAATCATCACAATTAAAAGAAACAAAGACTTAAACTACTTCAGTCTGTGTGCATTGAATTTATTTAATACACGAGTTTCACAATTTGAGTTGAATTACTGAAATAAATTAACTTTTCCACGACATTCTAATTTATTGAGATGCACCTGTACATACTAGAATTGTCAGTAATCAGTAATTAACAATCGCCATGGCCCCTGACCTGTTTGTTCCTTTTTTCCCCCCACGGACAGTATATTCTACGTCTTCTATGAACAGTATCTCACGATCGTCTATGACACGGCTTTTAACCTTGGTGTGTCATTGGCGGCCATCTTTGTGGTGTCTACGGTGCTTTTGGGCTTTGAGCTGTGGTCAGCAATACTGGTGTCCTTCACCATTGCCATGATCCTGGTCAACATGTTTGGAGTCATGTGGCTGTGGGATATCAGCCTCAACGCGGTCTCGTTGGTCAACCTTGTCATGGTGAGTTAAAAAGAAATGGTGTTTGATGGAATTGGTAATACAGGATTTATGAAGTTTTGTGACGAACCTGCAATAATGCATAATATTTGTTACTGAAGCACTTTATTTGCAGTGTTTGCTAACACCATTTACCGTAATGCAGTTTCCTTTGCTTTGGTTTTCAACGGCTACCAACCAAAATCTGCATACGTAATTATTTATCAAGACCTGTTTGGCCTGTTGTGTTTTTTTTATGCAGTGTTGTGGCATATCGGTGGAGTTCTGCAGTCATATTGTGAGGGCTTTCTCTGTCAGTACCAGGAGCTCGAGGGTTGAGCGGGCAGAGGAGGCGCTGGCACACATGGGCAGCTCTGTGAGTAATGTTCGCTACTGCTGTATAAATGTGACGTACACAAACATATTCTTGTTATTAACCTACATAATATGGGCATGATAAATCACCTTCTAACATGCTGATCTGACTCCGCAGGTGTTCAGTGGCATCACCCTGACTAAATTTGGTGGGATCCTGATTCTCGCCCTGTCCAAATCCCAGATCTTCCAGATTTTCTACTTCCGCATGTATCTCTCAATAGTCCTGCTAGGAGCCGCTCACGGCCTCATCTTTCTGCCTGTATTACTCAGTTATGCAGGTAAATCACAATGTTCTAACATTCACAATTTTTTGTGTCGTTCACCTAAAATTGAGAATTTGTGGATGAAGCACCAAAAAAAAACTATTGCAACTTTATTTTTAAGGAATACATAATTTTTCGTCCTGGTTTTAATTTTAACCGTAAACCACTTTGTTTTAATTATTTAATTACATATAACAATAATTTTTAATATTTTATGCCTTCATTTGATTACCACCGTTTTTGAAAATAAATTCGCATTAAATCATAAATCCTGAAAAAATTAAAATAAAACAGACATCACAATTTCTGAAAAAATAAAACATTTATTATTATTTTAAACAATTTTCAATAAAGTATTAAATTGTTAGTTTTATTTATTCAATTGATTAGACAAATATAAAAATGTAATTAAACCATTAAAACTCAATTCAGACATATTAAAATGGGGGGGAAAATGAATTTGGGTAAAGTAGAATTTGGGAGGGGGGGGGGTTAAACTGTTTTCGTAGGGCTCTAAAAACTTAATGTAGTTGATTTTTAATAAATCCCAAGTTCTATCATGAAACTCTAGATGGCGTAGGCTGATGGGTCCTTAATGCAAACTGAAGATATTCACAGCTTTAACTACTCAGCACAAGCTGATTTGTACATGTTGTACACTAGAGCAGTTCTCAGCGCACTTTGAGTTCCTCTGAAAGCCTCCACCTCCCCCAGCTCCACCTGTATAGACCTGCTACGGGTTATTATGTATGCTATTCGTGCAGCAGCAGTACGTCTTAAATACTCACAGCAGTGTATCAGTGTATTTATTGGCAGTAGCAAGTTCCTGTACTTGCTTTGCAGCAGCAGCAGCAATAATCTACAACCGCAATGACCAACAGCAGCAGCAGCGTAGCAGATCTATTCCACCAAGACCAAATACTTTAACATTGTCATATCCATTGCCATGCTAAAATCTACCAAGAGTTGTCATAATAGAAATCGATGTTACTTCTTTAAGTTTGATGATTTCAATTAATTAGCCATGGATTTTGATTACTAAAATTTTATTTAACCATTAAAACAAAATACAGGAAAGGGTTAGGGTTAGGGTTCGTAACAGGTTAGGGTTAGGGACAGATATAGAGGAGATTAATCTGTTTTGTGGAAGCATCACTGAAAGCATAACAATTCTCTGTGACCACAAAACCACATCAAGAACCCTTCTAGTTAGGGTTAGGCTAACCCTAATCCAGAAAAGTTCAAATGGACAAAGCGTATTCTAAACCAAATTACTGGATTGTGCAAAAAAAGGAATAAAACAATATCAACATTATTTTGATTTCACAAAAGAAGTTCTTAAAGGCTCTCCCTTTCTTTCTTTTCACAGGCCCATCTGTAAATAAAGCCAAAGTCATGGCTGCTCACAAAAGGTTTGTGGGTATGGACAGCGAGCAACTTGTCTACTAACAGCTCTGTGACGCTGAACAGTAGTGTACAGCACCAGTTTTTCATTCCCATGTTACATGCTTCGAAACGCACTTCAACAGACTTAACTCACGACCCCCTTTAGGTGTACAGAAGGCCTTTTTCACTGTTTCTTTTTCTTTCAACATCCACCAAAAAAAATCTTGAATTATTACTATTATTATTATTATTTTTAGCCTACTATTCATTCATTCATTTGGTCTTATCTGATCTGCTCAAGGGCTCTTACGTTTACATAGGTTACTTTTATCCAGAGAAAACTGCACTGCATTTAACATACAGGCCTACATTTTTCGATCGATCCCATGATTCTGATGAGCAACATTTTACACATTTCTTTAATAAAAGTTTATAAATAATCAAAATATAAACAAAGAAGGTTTTTTGTTGTTGTTGTTTAGAATTTTAAATGAGCTCAAAATATTATTATCAAGTAACTACATAAATCGCTCACCCTTTTATTAACTATACATAAGGGAGTGGAAACGGCAAGTGAATACATGAATCAGGGATCCTCTGCAGCCATCTACTGGTCATAGTGGTAATGTCATGTCATGTTCATTTGATAAGTGTTTGTTTTCAACTAGGTAGCAGTAATCTTCTGCTTAATGAATAAATAAATATGCAGATCTTCTTTAATGTGAATTTTACATCATGTTTACATTTTGTGTAAATATATACAAAAATATGCATAATTTTGAAAAAAAAGGACATAAATCTTTTATGTTTTATATCTGCTTAAGGGAAAAAAGATGTCCAAACCTACTTGGCCCGACGTGAAAAAATAATTGCCCCCTCCTGTTAAATCATGAAAGAACTGTGATTAACCACATTATTTTAGAAAGCTGAGTTAAATTTCACTTGCCACACCCAGGCCTGATTACTGCCAGACCTGCTGAATCAAGAAATCACTTAAATAGAACCTGTCTGACAAAGTGAAGCATGCTTAAAAAGCAACACACCATCCCGCAATCTAAAGAAATTCAAGAACAGATGAGAATCAAAATAGTTGACATTTATCAGTCTGGAAAGGATTATAACGCCATTTCAAAGGCTTTGGGACTCCACGGTTAGAGCCATTATCCACAAATTGAGAAAACTTGGAACAATGGTGAACCTTCCCAGGAGTTGCCGGCCAACCAAAATTACTCCAAGAGCACAACGACGACTCATCCAAGAGGTCATAAAAGAACCCAGAACA